CATTCGAAATGGTTGCTTTATCAAAGTTGATGAACTCTGAAGTCTCCTTTTTTGCGTTCGTTTTCGGGCAATAAATTTTGCAGCAACATCGCTTTTTGGTTCCTTCGTTGTGTTGATGAACGTCGATCTATTGAGCCATCAACGAATTCCCACTGAATTTTGGAAGAAATTGCGTTTGTTTTTAATATATGATTTTTTGAACTTAACTGTTAATTAATTGAATTCACTTTTGAAAATCGTTCATGAATTTCGCTTCAGTCATATTCCACGGTCATAGAGAACCATTACAAAATTTCAACATCAATAGATGAGAACTAAATGAATAACTTGATTCAAATTACTTAAACGTATCCGTTGGCTGTATCTGCGCGGGTGATTCATTTCAGTTCATGACATTTTGATCTTTGTCTGCAGATATTCAAAATAAGTTGCGTAATGTTCTCGTCTAAACTCAAAGTATTCGCTTTTTAGCGAATGGTAACAAGTATTTTGAGCACTTCAAAAACCTGATTGCTTAGATTCCATTCATCGTGTGTATGTTAGCAATTCTCTATTATACTGCCACGTAAATAGGGAACATTGCAAATCCGTTCATTCTATCGCCGACATCATGAGTTGAATTCAAAACAGCTCACGTCAGCGCACACTCGTTCATGTTCATGCATTTCCCCCAGTCTCATGTCATCGTGACGCATTGCGTTCGTTCACCGTATTCTGTTGGTGGGTTGATCTCGTGAAACTGATAATAAAATCGAACAGGTGCCGTAAAATTGTGATTGCTTTCTTTCTTTCATTTAAACTACTCACTGTTGATCAAGTTTTTTCAGCAGTGATGATAATGACGAAAACCCCATTGTAGTTGCTGAACCTCTGTGATAAATCATAAGTGATCTTATTGTTATGGAACATCTGTATTGTTATTATTGTTTCTGTCATCGTTATTTTTTTCAATGTTATTGGTACGGCAGATGATAAGGATTGATAAGGGAAAGCATCTTTGCATAGCCGGAATGTTTATTTTTTCCCAATGTTTCGGTTATCATCAGACAAAGAATGGAAAGGGCAAGGTGCTTTTGTTATTGACAAGTTACTGGCATCATTATTATCACTGTTATTGTTATCAACGTTATGATTGATAGCAGACAATTTTTATTGATAGATCAACACATCACTTCTGCGTAGAATAGTGCAAAAAGAAGACGGTAAACAAACAGCGATTAGAAAGTCAACAAAACATACGAAATGAGCATCCACAAGTGATACGGGATGTGCTTAGTTTTGATTAT